CTACAATTACATTGCTATTATATCAAAGCCTCAAATGGAATTCTGCGTCTGAATGGTTTCACAGCGTCACCAGGAGTCCTCTGTCTGAAGCCTTTGAGAGACGTTAGCCATTCTGGAGGGATAATTGTGGCCAAAGACGTGTCGAAATATTTAAATAAATGCAGTAGGCTTTAATATCCATTAATGAGTACCATTTTTCTCCATTGTCTTTTTCTATTCTGAGGCTACTGACCATACTTATTGTTGTTATACATAAGACTTTGCTCTCTTAACGCATCGACGTTCCCGACGACTTTAATTAATGGTAAATGTGGTTCTAAAAAATACTTTGTTTTTCAAGGAAGGAAGATCGAGACTTATTGCTTTGTTCCTTATCTGTTCTTGTGATATTAAGATACTGTAGAAAAGATTTTATTGATGTCCACAAAGAGAAAACTTATTTAAGAGAGAGGACCTCCAAATTTAACGTCTTAGACCTCCTTTAGATTTAGTAGAGGTTTTCCGGCGCTCGCAACTGCATAAGGTCATATGAGCGCCAGAAGATTAGAAGTGATACAAGAGAGTAACAAGCATAAAAAAGAAGAAGGGGAGATAAGGACGATAGATATTTGATAGGAAAGAAGGAGCAAACCACACCAGAGCACCCGCCAACCACTCACTTAGATCTCGGACAGGGAGGAGCCAAAGGGACCATTCGTGTAAAGTGCCTTTCTTAGAGACATAACATAGGACCGAGTTGAGCCTCGAATCTCTAAACTCCCAGTCTCACGATTGCGAGTCTGGTAGCTTCACCACAATACTACGCACGTAAACCACCAGATTAGGAAAGTCAGACGTGGAATGTGGATACATGTGCAGCAAAGAGTTATTTCAACGCGTGAAGGAAGTACCATTACGACCCCTAGCAACCCCAACAACACCACCGCTCTCCTATTTCACTGCCCACTGATTAAAACAGACTCTCGTCTAATTATTGGAACGTGGAATGATGTGTAATACAAAGAATTGAAGCATCTGGCGTCTGTGATGTAACGGTTAGGCGCTTCGCCGTCGCGCGTAGAAGACGTGAGCTCGAGTCTCCTTTGGGGGAAGGTTTCTTTAAAAGTTGATCTTCTCCGTCTTTCTGCTTGGACATTGTTTCTCTCTCAGTCAGGGTAAAAACGGTAAAAGACAGAGTCGAAGCAGCCCGCTTTCTAAATTAGTGTTGATGGGGGGTATAGAGTATTTAGAAATATATATTTTTACAGACATTTCCGTTAGTCTCAGTGGGCTCAGAACCTC